TGTAATTAGTTTTGCTTCTTGAAATGTAGCACCTAGGGTTCTAGGATTATGGTATGAATCTAGCAAGACAAGAAGCCATCCTTCATTGGATGCAAGGCAAGTTGCCCCATCTAGTTCCGGGATGTTGATGGTGTAGATTTTATCTTGGTTGCTTAGCAGGGAACACTGAGAACCTTCCCCATCATCATACAGAAGAAACCAAGGTCAGCTCCAGAACATTTATGCTTAGCTTTTGAAGAAGCATTGTGCCAATCTTTGCAAACACCACGGAAACACAGAAAATCAATCAGTCCTAGACCATCCGCAATTGGTATGAGCAGGTCTTCAGGCAGATTTGACCACTGCACTTTTTGCATTTTATTCTGCATCTGGTAGAATCATATCATAGGTAAGAAAAAGAGAGAAGAATGAATATGTTATATATTAATGTTTTGTGAAGTGATACGAAATAGAAAACATTCATCTCTATTTACATTAAATAAAAAATTCTTAAAATAAAGAAATAATTTATGAAATTTACACAAATAGAGAAACTAATCCTAACAAATCCTCTGACATACTCTAATTAGATGTTCCATGTATAATCTTAATATTACAAAGATATTCTAAAAATTCTAACACATTTGACTTCTTGCTATTCCAATTTGCTTCACGGAACTATAAAAATAGGTTTATTATATGTATACTGAAAATAGAAAATTAACAAAACTGATAGCAGCCTAAATCATTCGAGCACAAGACCACTCAACTCAAGTGAAACATGCATTTCTGATGCAAATTAATCAAACCTAATAAGAATAAGATTGAGATTGGGAGAAGTAGAAATAGAAAAATAAAAAATGAAGAGGTAAAATTAAATATTTACAAATGTATTTGTAGAGGGATAGTAGTTTGCATACCATCTGCATTTTCTTAACCTTCTTCCTTCCCAAAACTGAAGCGCTAACCTTTTTCCCCTTCTTAACATTCTTCTTTCCACCTCTTGAGGAGGATCCTTCAGTGTTGCCCAGATCCTGTAAATCTGTATCTCCAGACACCATGCTTCCAGGAACTTTCAGGTTAAATAGTGGCCGCACGAACATGCAGGGGTTGGTTTGCACGAAGGTGTGAACTGCAGGTCCGACGAGGAAGATAGAATGAGAATCGAAACCCAGATCGAAGAAGAAGGGTGAAATAAGGGTGCTAGGTGGAAAGGGGCGAAAGTTGAAAGCAAAATAGAAATTTGGTTCGAAGATCCAAACCTGAATTTCTTGCTCGGCGGCGAGGATGGAGCTGGACCGGCGGCGAACAAGGCGGTGGACGTCGACGAGGAAGAGAGGGCCGACGTAAGGGTGAATAGGATTAAAAAAACCTAAAGATAGATTTTAAATTATAATTTTGTGTTTTTTTAGATTCCAAGTAGTTGTGAATCAACAATTATAATTCATTAGCTTAAATTTAATGGAACAAATTTATTATTAATTAATTGATAAATATCAACAATTAAAATTTAAATTTTAAAAAATGTTATATTTTTTAAAAATATTTTTCTCTTGATTTCATAAATAATAGAAAATTACAAAAATAATTCTAGTTGACACGTGAACCGCGGGTTAACCCCTGATCCGTCACAAAAATAAAACATGTCAAATTTTAGACCCAAATACGATCCATTTAAATTTGCGGGTTAACACTACGTATATTTTGACAAATTGTGTCACGGGTCAACTCGTGGATAAGATCTATATTGTCACTCTATGCAACCTTACCAAGAGATTACATATTTGCAAACTTAAAAATTGAAATTCAAATCAGATATGAATTTAATTTCAAGCTGTCTTAGATGGAAAAGGGGCATGTAAGACAACCACGTTTACAAAAATGTGATGATCCTAGCTTTTCTGAGGCAAGTTGGGTATTCGTGGCACAAATGATCTAAGTCATTAAAGCCTCCTAAGACAAAGTTGGAATTCTGCTTCATTGAGTAAACAAATATAATTATGAAGGGAAGTACCTTTCCATTACATATTGGACATGGTAACTCTCTGATATACTGTCCATTTGGACCAAACCAGGACCTTGGTTCTGGTGTCTGAGAGTTCGCTTTGCTGGACACACTGCACAAAGGAACCGCCCTTCTTCATAAAATATCTAATTTGGAACAATCTAACCAACATCCAAATCTTAATCTGCATTTTGAGTAATTTCAAAAATTGAGCATTATTGCATGCAGTTTGCAATTAACCACACCAAATAGCTTAATCTTTTTACCTGAGAAGACCTGAAAAATAAAAATAAAAAGAATGATATTTTCAGGGGGGTTGGGAATTGGACACATGTAACAAACTGAAGTATTGGCATTGGCAACAACTTCCAGATGAACAAAAATATTGCTAATTTCATGTAATGTTTTACTAAGTGAACCTCTATAAACTGACTCAATCATGGTAAAAAATCCAAAACAATTGTTTTGCTTAAAGCTAGCTCTTGTTTTCTCAAAACCCCATACCCAAAAGAGCACAAGTTTCTCTATGCTGAGTGAACTGAGCATAAGGCGCAGCTAAACCTTAATAGACATCATATTTTCATTACAATGCTGCAGAAAATTCAGACAAGCAAGAACCCAAAATTCACTTGAATAAAACCACTAATTTATGGTTTATGACAATAAAATAGAAAAATAAATAAATAAATAAATAAAAGTTGAGACCTTGGCTTAAGTTCCTCATCCATTTCGAACAGTTCCCCTGGTGGACTGTAACCCAACTGTCACAAAAATATCATCACATTATTCCAAAAAAAAAAAAAAAAAAAAAAAATTTATGGTTTTGTTTGTGTTTTTTTAAGATTAAAAAACATGGGCGCAAATAAAAGGTTAAAATAAAATAAAATTATGTGCCTGTGTTGGTTTTGGAATGGAAAAGGAGGCATCGCTGAGTGAGGAAGAAAGGGTGGTGTTAGTGTTGGCATGAAGCAAAACCAAGAGATGCATGTTTGATTGCTTTGTGGATGGATATGTCTTTAGCGCGAAATGGAGTGGGGGAAAAATATTTTTACTTTTATTATTAAATTTTTTTTATAAAAGTGAGTGAGTTTTATTGTTAAAAAAATAAAAATAAAATCAATTTATTTTAAGAGGTAGGTTATATTTACAACTTTTTTTTACAACCTCTTACAACTATATCTTAACACTGTTGATTTCCGCTAATCAACGGTTATGATTTTCACAAATTAAACTCATTAATTAAGTATTAATTCACAATAAATGATAACCGTTGATTGACGAAAATCAATGGTGTTAAGATATAGTTGTAAGAGATTGTAAAAAAAAAAAAAAAAAGGTTACAAAGAGGTGTTTGGTAAGTGATTTTTAGGGGGATTGATGGTTAAGTGAGAGAGTGGTTATTGAATAGATGTGTTTGGCAGAAGAGTATGAGAAATAAAAGCAGCAACCTGGTTCCCAATGAAACTGTGCGGTGTGTGTAAATTTTGGTCCAAAACACTGTTTCAAAAGACCACCTTGGAGGTGGTATATGGAGATAATTGGGTGAGCAAAAATTTTGGCGCCATGATTGTTACGGAAATGCCCATTGCCTTCGCGAACATCTGGTCCCAGTCTCTGTGGCAAAACAAGAAACACCTTCTCGTCAACAACAGATTCATCCACCATTACATTTTCACATCGTAAATAAATAAAAATTCCAGTAGCACTATTTTCATCATGCCTATGATGGACAAAAAAAACACCTTAACTAACATAAGAGCTTCGAACACAACTTGGTCCAAAGAAGCGACCCTGCAACCCAAAACAAATTACACAAGTTTTTAGCAAAGATTGCAACTTTCCGAAGTGGGCAATCAAAAAAACGAAATGGGTCTATTCAGAAATCGAAATTCTGATACAAGACATAAGGATGAGTTTGATTTGGAGAACAGTGAAGGAAGCCAAGTACGGTGGTGAAGTGGAATGCTAGCAAAAGTATGACGGTGAAACCATGGCCATAGTCTTAGAGGCCGTAATAATTGTTGGGTCATGTGTGATTCTGCAAATATGATATGAAAACAGAAATGATGATGCTATTTGGCTATTCCTCTTCATGGCACAGGTGTCCCACAACGATACTTTCACAGGTCTCTTGAATAATCACAAGGGTATTTTTGATTTTTTGACATTTTTCGTCGTTATTATTTTACTTTTAATCAAATATAATTTTAATAAATTTCTGTTAATTTTCTTGATAATATTATGGTCTATCAAACAATTTTTTTTTAATTTTCCCACTACTTTAATTTTTCAACCATTTCTCCATTAATTATATTTGAGGTAGGATCCTTTGACACTGCCGTCAAATTTCAAATTTGACACTTCATCTGAGAGCCGTTAGATTAAAAAAGATCAACGACTCTGATTTGAAAGCATGTGACACCATTGATCTTTTTTGATCTAACGACTCTCAGATGAGGTGTCAAATTTAAAATTTGACACCGGTGTCAAAGGATCCTATCTCATTATATTTACATGGTCAAAAAATTTATCTCCTCTATCAGACGCCCTCTAAGTATAACCTTACTCTTACTTTAATATGAATGTGAGAAATTGTTTTTACAATAAAATTAAAAATGTTAAATTGATATTTAGCTTTTTAGAGAGTAGTAATATTCTAAATCTATCATTCACAAATACTTTGTCATTCTTATCGTTTCACGTCACCAACTAAGTCAACCCAACTTGTGATTTTATTTACTATTAATTGAAAAGAAATATTCACTATCTTGAAATCTAAAAAACATTTAATACTTGTTTATTTAAGTAATTCGTGGAGAGTAATAAAAATATTTTAATGTCTTCTTAACATTCGATAAGGACATATTTTAATAAATCCCGTTTTTAAATATTATTAATAAACAGAATACTATTTTACTGTGAAAGTTACCACAAAATTGAGCATATTTAACTTTTTTTAAGCAAATACTTGTGAGTTTTTATTACACCTTGTTTTACTCATTGAGACCAAACCAAAACATCATTGCATCAAACGGAACAAAAACCGGGAAATACAGAAGCAATTGAAGCGGCAGACACAAAAGCAGAGAGAAGATATAAAGAGACAGGTGAAGATGTTGGATTTGCAGTTGAAGCTACACTCACTACCATCACTATCATCTTCATCTTCTTCTTCTTCTTCTTCACTTAAGCAGTGCCCAAACCACTCTTTCTCTCCAAAGTCTTTTCCTTTCAACCCTTCTTCTGAACCCCTCACAGTCACCAAACCAATCAGATGCCGCCACTCAGAACTCTTTGATCAGAAAACCTTTTCCTCCACACCACAAGCTGCAACCTCGACTGCTTCAGGTACTTTTTTTCTTACCCTCTTTCCTTTTTTTGTTTTGTTTTGTTTTGTTTTTCCTCAACCCCTCAATTCCATTTTTGTTTGGTTTCTGAAAGCCTGTGTGGTTGCTGAGATAATAAAGCCTGATTTTTTTTATTATTGTATCTGAGTAATATTTAGGCAAAAGCAACTCTTGGGTTTCTCTGCAACCAGGTTGAGGCTTGATTTTCCCATTTGAAACTTTTATTTTAGTTGTTGGAAAAAAAAAAGAACAGATTTTTATGCTATATATTTTGTCAATGACAACTACAGAGTGGTGGGTAAGTTAAGAAATTTTCAAAGGGTTGGTGTTGTATAATGCACTCATTTGCTTTCTAGTTTGATGGTTATTGTTTGCTTATGTGTGTTTAGTTGGAGCTTTGCCACCTAGGGTTTATGTTGGTCACACCATTTACAAAGGGAAGGCTGCACTCTCAGTGACTCCTAGACCCCCGGATTTCGCCCCACTCGATGTATGTTTTTATTTTTGTTTTGACGGTGGTTATCATTGAATGTGCTGTAATCATTCTGGACTTGTTTCATGGAATTTGTGAATTGAATGTTTAACTTGGGAAGATTTTGCTGCATTTTTTCAGTCAGGGGCATTCAAAATATCTAGGGAAGGTTATGTGCTGCTTCAGTTTGCGCCTGCTGTTGCTTCCCGTCAATATGATTGGAATAGAAAACAGGTGAGTTATGCTTCTTCTGTAATTTGAGGGTAATATCTATGTTATTATTGATCCCAGAACTAGAAGTTCTTATGTGCTAAAGTTTAGGTCAAATTTGAACTGTTGAGAGTATTTCTCTTAAGAGTACGTTTTTCTGACAAAACCTGAGTGAGTTTGGCATTTTGATCTCTCTAGTTTTGAATTTTTTTTTATTTTTGTGCGGGTAGTTATTAAAAATTTTAGACTCTTTTATTCTCTCTTAAGCTAATCCAAACACACACCGTAAAGAACCACTTCAGGTGTTAGGTGAGGGCGGTGTTAGGTGAGGGCCTTTTTAATGATTTATATTATTCTCTAACACACCCCCTCACACAAGAGCTCTTTGGTCTTGAAGTGTGGATATTGCACAGGTCCAATTTTTGGTTTACTTTCTTTTGTGCTTTTTCTTTTATATTTAATTCCACAAGTGGGGGGCGGCGAGGATCGAACTCGTGAGCTTATGGTCACTGAAGCTCTGATACCATGTAAAGAACCACTTCAACCCAAAATCTTAAGGTGTTAGGGGAAGGCCTTTTTAATTATTTATATTATTCTCTAACACACACTTTGCTTATATGCTTTTACCAACAATAACTTGATGATCCTAGTTTCCTGGTTCATGCTTCTGTATGTTGTGAACCCAACCGAGTGAAATGTCGTCCTGTCCAGTGAAAATTGAATTAGTCATTTCATTGAACTTTTTTATTCTGGTAGAGTTAGTCACTTGATCTTATAGTTTAAATATGAGATCATTGTCATTTTGCTTGAGTGCAGGTGTTCTCGTTATCAGTAGGTGAAATGGGAAGTGTGATTAGCCTTGGAACAAGGGAGTCTTGTGAATTTTTTCATGATCCTTTGAAGGGAAAAAGGTAGTTTCTACGCAATGCCTTCTAATTATTGTAAAATGTAAATCTATAATGGGGTTAACATTTTAGAATATCTCTGGTCATTTCTTGATTTATCTCTGTGATAAAAATTGCATTTTCTTTTTTCTTTTTTTGTGTAAGGGGCATGGGGAGCTGATGGTGTCTTTTCCTCCTTATACCCTGGATGGAATAAAAATATGTGATCTTTGACCGTATATGTGGGTTCATACATACTGACTAAGTCATTAATTACATACTGTTTAATAGATTTTGCTTTCTTCTTTTTGCTATGTGGTTGGATGTGGGGGAGCGGGTTTCAATGTCGTAAGTTATTGTTGCTGTGCTTATATACCTCTAAAGCATTTTCAAAATTGTCTTGTTATGCAGTGATGAAGGTAAAGTCAGGAAAGTTTTGAAGCTAGAGCCTCTTCCGGACAGTTCCGGTCACTTCTTTAACCTCAGTAATCATCTTTCTTTACTGTATCAATTTTATATTATTTCCTTGCCATATTGAAGTTGCTGGGGCACCATGAAATATTGGGTTGATTGAGTCCATTACATAATTTGTGAACTGCAAAAAGCTCACACAGTAGTGCGATATTTGGATGGTGTTCAATCTTACTGTAATCATTTAAAATAATGACCTATCGGCCCCATTTTTATGCCCATGCCTGCAATATAAATGAAGAAAGTTAATTGTCTTAATATTTGCTCCAGTTCTGACTTTGTTATGGGATTTTTGAAGGTGTTCAAAACAAGCTTCTGAACATGGATGAAAGCATCATTATCCCTATTACAAAAGCAGAGTTAGCAGTTTTGAGCTCTATTTTCAATGTATAGCTCTCTCTCTATTACTATCTATCTTTGCCTTTTAATGCGAAAAATTGCATTGCCATGATTCTCTAATTGTTCAATGGAAAGATGTTATAGAAGAAATGACTGATTACAGAGAAGTAGCAATCAAAATCTGATTGATGCAGTAAACTTTGCAATAATAGTATGTCAACCTTCTTAAGCCATGAAAATTCCTTTGCCTGGCCAAACTAGGAGCATGTCTTTTGGCTTTTGTAGTATGAAGTCATGAAGTCTTAGTGGTTTATATATAGATTTTATGCTTGTCTTTTTGAAAGAGAATTTTGAATAGCTCAATTGGCTGTTGGAAAAGTAGTCCGGTTATGTTTATTCACTACAGTGATATAGCACTTCAACAAGGGTTTTTTGTACATGTTTCAAATGCTTTCAAAATGCAAATCTTTCTTTTATGCATACAACCTTATTAATATTTTGCTCATTCTGATCGCACTTCTGTTGCTTTTTTCTGTAGTTTATTATGCCATATCTTCTAGGTTGGCATACATTTGCAAACTCCATAAAGCCAGAGGATGCCAGCTTAGTCAATAATGCCAACCCAAGATTCGGAGGTGACTATGAATGGAACAGATAGGGATCACTTTTTGCCTGTATTACAACACCCTCACCTTGTGCACACTTCTTAACTTTGAAATGTGTTAAATCACTTCATCCTGTTAACTGAGATTTGTTTAAGAAATATTGAGATAGTATTGAACACACACTTTTGAGTTATAATTCCTTGTTTCTATTGATTCTGTGCGTGTTATGATATTTTGGCTGAAAAAGTAGAAAATCATAATAAAAAGATTTAGTGCATTCAAATTAGATTTAGTGCGTTCAAATTGACATATCAAATCATAAAGTTCATAAATAAAGAAATTTAGTGCATTCAAATTAGATTTATTATGTCAATCATATTATTAATTTTGTAATGTTCATTTATTAACTGTGATAATTATCTATTAATTAATCTTTTGATTCACTTACTATATCCAAAGAATGTGCATTAAGTTTAACCAATTTAAATAACATTAGTCTTTTTTTTTTGGTTTAAGTAATAAGGAACAATGTTGTTAAAATCGAGATCTTAAGTAAGATTGGAAGGGGATTAAAAAATCGTAAATCGTAAAATTGTAATGTAAAAAAATCGTAAAAAATCATAAAAACGTGAAAGCATTTGTAAAATTGTTTTGATAAATTTTTTTTGTAAAAATATAAAATCGTAGTGATAAATTAAAATTTTAACAACAATGATAAGGAGCTTGCCTTTCTTAATCTGAAACGTGGTCTGTGTTCAAGAGAGCCACCTCTTATATAGTTCTGACACTGTTCAAACCATAATAGTTGGGTTGCTCATGGACTGGTTGGGTAAAAAATATCAATGTTTCAATTGCATGAAGTAAAAGAAAATATCCTAAAAAGTGGATGTAATTAATTATGGCTTGTCATTCTCTATCATCATATTTTCATCGTATCCATCACTCACTTACTATATCCAAAGAATGTGCATTTTGTACAAAATTTTTTGATGGAGACTAAATTTTGTTAGAAAATTTATTTTTGTAACAGATTTTAATAGAAAAAAAATTCTGTCGCTTTTCAACAAAAAGTATTCTGACGAAAAAATAATTTTGTGACAAAATTTTTATCGTTTGCAACGTAGAAATTTCGATGAAATTTGGTGACAAAACCAAGTCAAAAATGGGTCAGGTCAGATTTGATCCACTTCAGAAACCAAGTTAGACCCTCTTCAGAAACCAAGTCAGGTCAGATCCGACCCAGTTCTGAACTAGTTCAAAAAAATTCAAACCAAGTCAGACCTGACTTGGATTAAATTAAAGAGGGTCGGGTCAAAATACCTGACCTACAAAAATCAAGTTGGGTTGAGTCGGCACAAAAACCTGACCCATGCACAACCGTAAACCAATCTATTACCCAACTCAAACTGATTAAGAGACCGTTTGCATTGGCTTATAAAAAAGTCTTTTTTATGGCTTCTTTATTTTAAAAGTACTTTTTATAAAAGCTATAGTTATTTAGATTTTTAAAAAAATATTTGATTTTTTAAAAAAATATTTGATTTTTGAAAAAAATATTTGACTTTTGACTTCTGCTTTTTTTAGAAGCTAAAATTTTTAGCTTCTAAACAAAGTAAATTTTTGACTTTTTTTTATGACTTCTGCTTTTTTCAAAAGCATGCATTTATAATAGACTTTTTTCGAAAAATACTTTTTTTTCTTAAGAAAAACAGTAACTTTTGAAGAAAAAAAAGCTCATCCAAAAGAGCTTTAAATGACTAATTTATTAGGTTTCGGATTGACCCGACAGATTCAAGCTGGGTTTAATAACACTGAGCATAACATTCAGTCATTCATCAACAAAGTGTTTAAGTTGGGCTGTAGAGCCTAACGGTATATACACCCCCCCTCTTGGTTTGGGGTTTTACCACATTTTATACATATTTTCTATTTTCATCGAGTTTTGGTTTATAGACGAAGTGATATATATGCTATTGCGAAAACTACGATTATATTATTTTTTTAATTTGTGATAACTGTTGCTCATAATACAACATCAATTCAATCTTGACACGTGGAGCAGATGAAAATACCAAAATATGGTCAGATAATTCTGAAAAAGGATAATTTCATAGATTTTTTTTTTTTTTGAAAATGGGCAAAATAAGAATATTAAGCCTTCTTGAAAGAGAAGCAGCCATCCTCCACTATGAGAGAATTTTTACTTTTAGTGATGCATTAGATATTGAATTCTAAATATTTTTCAGGGGCAGGAACGTTGTTCCCTTTATGACCTTACAATAAAACAGTCTATTTCGCAAATGTTAGCATTATAAATAGAAGTGAACACAAACGCGTACGAACACACCCCAAATTAAAAGCATACAAGAAAAATATATAAAAACTTCTCCAAATCCTTGAGCATAAAATAGTCTTAAATCTATAGATCAAAAAATAAAATCCCAAAGTTTAAAATAAATAAACAAACGAGTCAGCAAAATGATAACTAGATAAAAAAGTGAAAACCCCCCCCAACAAATTACCAGCTTTGGTCTGGAGGTATATTAAGGTAACTTGGTTGGATCCACACCCCTTTAAGATGACGGCTTTCAGATTCTGTAGTTGCATGAACGTTTTCACCTTGAATTGCAATGCAACATTGACCACTAGAGTCTGTCATTAGCTTTCCGCATGTAGAAATTGAAACATTTGCCTCTAATCCCAGTTTACTCTTCGCATCCATCATCCTGTCTATATGTATTTTATGGCTCAATTCACCCATGGGTAGAAATACAAGATACCTGTTCCCTTTTAGGGGCTTAGCTGAATGAAAGGCAACTAAACTTTCCCACTCGTCCAAGAATTGAAATTCCCATGCACCAAACACAACACAAGTTATTTTATCCAAAACAAGTATACCGCAAGGAAAATTATGCTTGGCCCATATACTATTCCCCCTGCAAAGCAAGTAGAGTTTTAATTCATGATCATTGATTCGACTAATCACAACAACAATGCAATCTTGAGAAGTGGGAACAGATGAAAATGCTGCAACATGGTTAGATAATTCTGTGAAAGGACAGCTTGGAAGCTCTATTTTTGCTCTGGAAAAGGGGCAAAAGAAGAACATTGAACCATGTCGAAAGACAAGCAGCCATCCTTCATTGGATGCAAGGCAAGTTGCCCCGTCTAGTTCTGGGATGTTGATGGTGTAGATTTTATCTTGGTTGCTTAGCAGGGAACACTGAGAACCTTCCCCATCATCATACAGAAGAAACCAAGGATCAGCTCCAGAACATTTATGCTTAGCTTTTGAAGAAGCATTGTGCCAATCTTTGCAAACACCACGGAAACACAGAAAATCAATCAGTCCTAGACCATCCGCAATTCGTATGAGCAGGTCTTCAGGCAGATTTGACCACTGCACTTTTTGCATTTTATTCTGCATCTGGTAGAATCATATCATATCATAGGTAAGAAAAAGAGAGCAGAATGAATATGTTATATATTAATGTTTTGTGAAGTGATACGAAATAGAAAAACATTCATCTCTATTTACATTAAATAAAAAATTCTTAAAATAAAGAAGTAATTTATGAAATTTAAACAAATAGAGAAACTAATCCTAACAAATCCTCTGACGTGCTCTAATTAGATGTTCCATGTATAATCTTAATATTACAAAGATATTCTAAAAATTCTAACACATTTGACTTCTTGCTATTCCAATTTGCTTAATATTACAAAGGTATTCTAATTAGATGTTCCATGTATAATCTTAATATTCTAAAAAAGTAATTGCAACATGATCAATAAGTGCTTCGCCGAGTTTAAAACTCACCACCTACTATTTCTATAAGTAATTGCAAAATGGCCCGGCAGACTCTTTTAATATTCAATTTCACTTTGATTAATTGATTCTAACAAATCTCAACTCTAAAAATCACTCTCCATCAAATCTCTACTGTGAGGGTGAAGTGAATGCAATGTTTATACGCAACCTTATCTTTACATATTTATAAAGAGACTACATATTTACAAAAAGATCTGTTTTCACTATTCAAACTCATAACCTTTCAGTTAAATTTTTTTTTTTACCGTTATTTCAAACTCGTGCTCTTTATCATTATTAGAGATATTTTTTAATTTATTTATTTTAAAAAAATATCTCTAACAAATCAAAATGGAAAAGTGTGAAGAGTCACTGTGGGATAAATAAATTTTAGAGATCAAATTTTCTAAAGAATAATATCACACGACGACTAAAATAAATTGGAAATTTGTATAAAAAAAATAAATTTGAAAATAAATTAAGAGCTCAAATGGGGTTTATCAACTTATAATAGGCAAACGATGGTAACTCTATAAACAAATCGTTTATTTCAAACAAATATACAGCAAAAAATAAAATAAAATTATTGAACAGTGAATACCATGCTTAATTGTATAACCTTAATACAAGGAAGAATAGCGAGGTGAAGCAAATATAGAAGATGCCGTGATCGTGTTCGCAGTATCGAAAGACGATGTTAATAAGAAGCAATAACGATCGTGTTGTGTTCACTGTCAAAAGACAATAGTAATAAGAAGCAATAACAAATTAGGATTTATCATTACCATGGATCACTTTGCATTGCAGAATCGTTGAAGTATGAACTTGTAAAACATGAAAGAAAAGGAGAGTGGGTTTTGGCAAAAGGAATCGAAAAGTAAACTAGGGGTGTTCGCGGTCTGTACTGGATCGGTTTTGAAAGTAAAACTCATCCGATCCAATGTTTGATCATGTAATCATCCCTTCGGTTTAGATTTTTTTTCAAATCCGATCCGATCCAATCCAATTTTTTTCGGTTTGGATTGGATCGATTTTCGGTTTTTTGAATATCCTAAAATTAGTTTCATGATTATTATGCAAATAACATCTTTTGTATATATTGGCTTTGTAAAAAAAAATTTGAAATAGAAAAATATCAGTAAACAATACTACAGGAGACGTGACTAAGTTTTTTTTGGGTTTAGTTGATGAGTTAATGGGTCTTGAGTTTGAAAAATTTTGAGCTATTATTGGAGTAAGGACAAGTAGGTAGAGGATAATTAATATATTGGATCAGTTTGGATTGGATCGATTTTTATCAACCCATCCGAAAATCGATCCAAACCAATTAAAATTTGCGATTTTCTTTCGGTTTCTGATTTTTCGGTTTTCGATTTATTCGGTTATCGGTTTTTCGGTTCGGTTTTCACGGTTTGAATCGGTTTGGATCAGTTGATGAACACTGTTGCGAAAAATCGGCAAGTGCACCGATCGTACCAAGTAATAAAAAGTGAGAAGAGTATCGTCTCCACAGGGATTGGGTCGAATATCAATTAATTGTTTCTTTTAAGAATGGAAGAACAAGAGTTGATTTGAAAGTAATAGTGGTTGTAACAATTGTGAACTATTCAATATTTCGTGAACAATTCAAAGAGAAGATTGAAAACTTAGAATCAAAAGTTGAGAATTGAGAAAATATTATAAAGAAACTATTGCAGTAAAAGACTCCAACATCTTTCCGATCCCCACCTTGTAATAATGATTAATATTTATGTTTAATTACCCAATTGATCAAACAATTCACCATCTATAATTAATTAGTTAAGCCCTAATCCCTTAGTGATCTTAACCTTATTAACCCTATTAGAATCCTAATCCCTTATAAATCCCTTTTCAAGTTAATCTTTAAGCCCAGCGAATTTTTCACATTTGCAGTTCATATAGCCTATCCCTAGTGCATACATGAACAGTTATCTTACCTTTTGTCAGGAATTAGAATACCAATATCCCTATTGCGAACCCTAACCCTCGTAATCCTAATAGAGTCGCGAATTCTAAAAGAATTATGGGATGAAGAACAGAGTAAAATAAATTCAATTGAATAATTAACCATAAACTTAACCAAAAAACTAGCCAGACATATTCATGTCTGACAATTTAAATTATGAGAAAGAGTTCATGAAAATGTAAAACCGGAAGAAGAAGAAGTCTTGATACGCCAGCTTCCTCTCCAATTTCTCTTTGCCAAAAGATGATTTTCTTTTAGAGTTTCTGCTTCCTTTATATAGCCAGCTACTCAATCAGGTCATAATCCTTGCATTAATTCTGATTAAATTTCCATTTTTCTTATAATTCCACCAATCAATCAGGTCATGATCCTCTAATTAATTCTGATTAAATTTCCATTTTTCTCATAATTCCACCAATCAATCAGGTCATAATCCTCTCATTGATTAAATTTCCATTTTCATCAAACTCCACAAATCAAGGAATGCATTCATGACGCCCGCGCGATCAGTGCCAAATTTGCGACTCCACAAATCAAGGATTACATTCATGACGCCTGCACGATCAGCGCCAAATTCGCGCGGATCGCGCGGACAAACAGAAAGTAATTTGCCAAAATCACGCGGATTGCGCCATTTTCGCACGTTTTGAGCGAGACTATGCAATTTCAACTTCTTTCTTTCACTTCTTTTTGGTGTTTCCTGCTATCAAAATGCATAAATTGAGTGAGAGAATGATTGAGAAGAAATAATCAATATTTCTTGCATTTATGAGCTTATTTTCACACATTTATAATTAATTCCTTGCTTCTTTTACTTAGAAATCACCATATGTTAGACGCATATCAAACACCCCTAGAGTAAAATGCTATTCTACCAAATAATTGAGAGGTTATTTATTCTTAAAACTTTCGCTCTAAACCCTTCGTATTACTCTTCAAATATGAAATATTGGTTACTAGATTTTTTCTTCATATGGGCTCTAACCCATAGTTATCCAATATTCCTTGATTTGCGAGTGCAATAGCAAAGCGTAATATAAGGACTTTTTGTTTTCCTTTTTTATCTCTTTCAGTTATATGATAAAGATATTTCTAAATTAAATTTTATGTTAAATGTATATTACTTGTACGATCGGTGCACTTGCCGTGAGTAGCAACAAGTTTTTGGCGCCGTTGCCGGGGAACAAGTTTTTGTACGCTCTGCTCTGTGGAACTGAAACCTAGGCATGCGTATGCTTCACCGATTCATAGATCTGCCCCAGACCCATTTTCCCAATAGCTGAAATTTCAAACCTCTTTTATCTGATCAGACCTAAATCCCTAACTCTCCATTTTTGTTTCTCTCTTCCGCCGCAATGGATACACTACCAGAAACCACAGGAACAAATACTTCCCCATCCGCATCTTCACATGCTTCTCGTCCCTCTGTTGTCCCGCATGTTGCTAAATACCGAAAGGAAGCATCCTTTGCCAAGATATTTCAGTGCACTCACTGTGGCGATTCCGGTCATTCGAAGCACCGGTGTTATGAAATAATTGGGTATCCTGATTGGTGGGATTTCACCAAACTTCCTCGTCGCAAGGCTGTCTCTAAAGCTCTTCTTTCCTCCGACGGTGACTCTTCTTCCTCTCCTAAAGCAACTGCTATCTATGAAGGCGTATTAGGTAATTCTCTTGCTCTTTCTACTCACTATAGTAATTTGTCTTGGATAATTGATACTGGTGCATCAAACCATATGATTCATGATGCTTCTGATTTGACTGAATTTTTGCCTTGTGATAAGTATTCTGTTACTACTGCAAATGGTAGCACTGCTTCAATTACTGGTCAAGGAACTTTTGTTTTATCACCCACCATTACCCTGCACTCTGTACTTGTTGTCCCCTCCCTTGAGTTTAATCTATTGTCTGTGAGTAAATTGACTTCTGAACTTCATTGTGAAGTATTGTTTTATCCAACGTTCTGTGTGTTTCAGGACCTCCAAACAAAAATGATTTTTGGCTATGGTGTTAGAAAGAACAACCTCTATTTTTTTGAAGCCCCTCATAGTGCATCAGAGATAAAGTATAGAGCAGCTGTTGTTCATAGTTCTGAAAATAAACATCCTACACTATGGCTATGGCATAGGAGATTAGGACACCCCTCTTTTTCGTATCTGAATAAGTTGTTTCCTCATTTATTTTCGAATAGTAAACCTTCTGAATTGCATTGTCCTACTTGTGAAATGGCTAAAAGCCATCGTTTGCCTTTTTATCCTAGTTCAAATAAAAGTGAAATTCCATTTCAAGTTATTCATTCTGATGTATGGGGACCAACTCGTGTGTCTTCTTTCTCAAATGCTTTTTATTATGTTTCTTTTATTGATGAATGCACTAGGATGATGTGGATCTCTTTACTCAAAAACAAAAATGAGGTGTTTTCTGTATTTCAAAATTTTCATAACATGGTTGCTACTCAATTTAAAACTTCAATCCAAATTCTGCAATCTGACAATGGACTTGAATATAAAAAAAAAAGCATTTTTTGATTTTTTAAACTCTAAAGGGATCAAACATCAAACCTCTTGTGCATATACCCCTCAGCAAAATGGTTTGGCTAAAAGAAAAAACAGGCAAT